AAACTGCGTGTTTGCGGCGTTTATTGCATATAGAGTCCGGATCGTACTCGACTAGGGAGTGTGCTTTCAATACTGTTTGAAGGATATACAATTGCCTAACAGATAAAACTTCGCACTTTTCGTAGAGGCAAGAGGTGGAATAAAGAAAAGGTAGTTTCCACCCCGTTTTCAGTACAGATCTTTGAGTGCGTTCCAGTTTTATAAGATTTGTTTTAGCCGCACCGCCCCAACTAGTAACACAATACGTTAGAAGAGTTTGACATAAGGCCAAATAGACCGTTTTTATGACGCAACTGTCCGCAACATGACGTAATTTCTTAAAAACAAAATTAAGTTTTCTAATTCTTGAACACAGGGCATCAATGTGAGCTTTAAAAGTTAAAGTACTATCTATCAGGATACTTAAATATTTAACACACTCTGATTGGACAATGTTGGGACAATTACAAATACGGGAATCGAAGGAGCTACAGCAATGGGCAAGGATACGATAGGTGTTTTGATTGGGTTGTGTTGCTTTTGTCTTACTAAAAGTGATAAGATTTGTCTTTTCAATATTTAGAGTGAGCACGTTACACTTTAACCATTTAGATACTGAATCAAAACCTAATTGAGCATAACGGTAAACGTCAGACCATGTATTCGCATGAAATATCAGGGCAGTGTCATCCGCATATGTAAAAACTTTACCACATAACAAAGGGAGCCTACAAAGGGAATCAATATACTAACTAAAAATAGGGTGGGACCCAGGATACTTCCCTGGGGGACACCGTAAGTTGTAGGAAGTTCATTACTAGTCCAATCGTCAATTTTAACAAATTGACGTCTATCAGTCAAATAGCTTTTAAAAATTTGTAACTGAATATCCCTTACACCAAGCATCTCTAATTTGGAAATGAGCAGCGGAACTGAAACTGTGTCGAAAGCTTTGGATAAATGAAGAAAAATACCAAGAAGTTTTTGTTTTTTATCAATTTTATTTACTATAAAATTTGTTACTTCATGGACAGCATCGTTAGTTGAGAGGCCAGGGCGGAAGCCAAATTGTGAATCAGATAAAAGGTTATTTCTTTCCAAATAATTAATCAACCTTGAATTTAAAAGTCTTTCCAAAATTTTTGACAATGTAGGTAGGATAGAGATAGGCCTGTAATTGTCGACACAGTTTCTGTCTCCTTTTTTATAAATAGGGATAACCTGGGGAAGCTTGAAGGCATCAGGGAATACTCCAGTCGAGAAGGCCAAATTACAAATAAAAGTAATGGGTGATATAAAAACATGTTTTAACCTTTTAAGTAACGCTCCAGAGATGCCATCATATCCGACGGCGCAGTCGCATCTTAGGTTATTAATCAGTGACTCAATCTCATGTTCATCTGTAGGAAACAAAACAAAACTATTGGAAAAGGGAGAAACATTGGAATTTAACCGAGAGTAACTAGTAGAGTCTATATTGCTGGCAAGTTTTTGCCCTACATTAGCAAAAAATGTATTAATGGCATTAACGGAGGTTTTTGGATCGAGGTTTGGAGATGTAATTAGTGCCGATGCCGATGAAACAGATTTAGAAGTATTTGTAATCGTTTTTATAACATTCCATATTTGTTTACTATTCTTATTTGCTTTTTTTATTTCAGTTTTTTCAAATTCGTTCTTGGCCTTTTTCAGAATAGCAGAACAGAAGTTTCTATAACGAGTGTAGGTTTTTTTAAGTATGTCATTATTAGGAGATTTTTTTAATTTTAAATGTATATAATCTCTGTTTTTAATACATCTCAACAAACCCGTTGTAATCCATGGTTTTATTGTACGTTTTCTGTTTGGGACAATTTTTAGGACAGAATTGGCAGTAATGGCTCGCCCTATGGATTTGGAAAAATAGACAGTAGCCATGTTTACATCCGTCATATTGTATAAAGGGCTAAAATCAATACTGCCAATTTCACTTTCGAGTGCTGCATAATTGATTTGTCTATATGTTTTACAAGGGTTTGCCGATTTACATGTGGACAGTAGAAAAAGTATCACACTGTCGTGGTCAGTTAAAGATGCCTGCACGACATAGCAGGAAGCTGATTTTCGTGTTTTCAAAAGAACATGATCCAAACAAGATCGGTTACGAGTGAACAAGTTATGGGCTGGTAACATACCATGACTGGTTATCAAATTTAGATAATCAGTAGAGCGAAGGTCACTGCTTTCTCCAGAAATATCAATGTTTATATCACCCACCAGGATTATATTTTTGAAGGAAGTGTATTTGCACAGCAGGTTGTCCAGTGATACGAGAAAATTAGTGATATTGTGCTCGGAGGGAGGTCTATAAATGGAAACGACCACAGTGTCCCCGTCAGTAACTAGAACAAGACAGTTAGCATTGGAAAGTGGGTGTTCGGCTACATTGATTTTAAGTTTACTGTTATAATAAACAAAAACACCCTCATTTTGAGAATTATGAACACTAGATGCCGCGACGTAATAACCTTCAATATTAGGAATAGGAGGAGACTTAAATAACCAACACTCAGTCAAAATAATGAAATCCCATTCAATGTTAGCTCTAAGCAATAATATTTGAAAACCGTCAAAATTGCAGTTAATACTTCTAATATTTTGATTTATTATTTTTAGAGAATTTACCTTGGGGCACAACTTAGTGCAATCATCTATCATGCATGTCGAGAATTCCGCCACTGAAAGTGAGTCCAGATCAGTTCTGAATGTACTTAAATTATCAACTTTTATTCGTCAGTGATTTGAAGTTGTAATGTGAAATGTCATAACTTAATAGAAAATTGACAGAGTAGTCAGAGTACGTTACACATATTATAATTAATTTGATTGATTGCGAATAATTTAAAAATTTGTTGGTGATGTTTTTATTGCTATATATTACCATTCTTAGAAGAGTGTGTGAGTGTAAAGTTTGTGAGTTAGGTGTGTACATTAATACAAATAAATCATTAAAAAGAAACAGCAGAGGACTAAACATTAACAGTCACAATGTAGATTTTTTAAGTCTGATAAAATCATCTTCTGATTCAATACGAATTGTAGGCGTTCCTAGTCTCTTTCTTACGAATATTTTTCCATAGGCAGTCCAACAGCTATCGTAATTCTCTTTTTTAACAAAGTCTCGAGCTAAGTAGAAATACATAGGAAATGAAACTATTTTTCCGGATTTAAATCGCGTTATATTTGTTTTTTCAAACAAAAATAGGAATAGGAATAGGAATAGAGGCATAGAAATAGAAATAGTAATTTGTTTATGAAAAATAGTGACAGACATAATATTAATAGGAGGAATAAAAATAAGCTAGCTTTTCTTGATAGTCGTCTTCACAAAGTTAAAAAATCTTTTAAGGGGCAATGCATATGCTTCTATAACAAGATTCCGGTTGATATACAAAATTTGCCTTTCACGAGGCTTAGAACCATAGTGAAACCAAAACTTTATACTAAAGGTTATATATATACAACTTCTGCGTACTTGGACGACAAAAATCCGTGGTAGTAACCCGTTTAGCTCATGGAGGTAGTCTCGATATCTGATGTTTCAAATAAAAAAAATATATATTGTAAATGTTGAATGTGTGCAAATGTTATTTACAAAGAACAACCCCTAGAGTTTCTTGCTCATTCTTCTCAGGGGAATCTGCTTTACGAATGAGCGGTAGAGTTTAACTATTGTGTTATATTATTAAGTGTAATAATGCTTACCTATAAAATAAAGATTTTGAATTTAAATTTGAATTATTTTTATGCGGAGGGAGGGTGGGATAATTATCTATATGAAAAAATATTCAACACAAGCGTAGCTATTTTGCACGATTTAACCATCACTGGGTTCGCGGAGTAGCAAATTAATTTTTATTACTCAAACAGGGTATACGTTTTCTCGAATAACAATGTTTTCTTATTAATTGATCTAATTAAAGCACTTTCAATAATTATTTGAAGACTTTTGAATCAATTAAACCTTTTCTCCAGTTCCATGTGACTTATCCAAAATTAAAAAACTAAAACAAAAAATAAATCCTTAAGACTGTGCGTGATTGATTCCACTACCTTATGAGTTTTAAGAATTATTTTATTTTGCAAGTCACTCTCACTCAAAATTGCATTATAATTGAAGTGTTTTATTGCACGTCAGTACGTTTCACCACCCACGATATTCAATTATTTTTTTATGAAACGACTCCACTACTTTGTTATAATTATAAATAGGTACAAACATCGAATACTTACAAAAAATTCCCTCGATGGAAAGCACAAGGAAAAATTCGTGAAGTCCGCTGGTTCGTTCCGTGGCTTAGTTAGCATAGCATCAGACACGGTTTGCTAGAAGCCGTCGGTTCGAAGGATTTTTTTCTAAATGTTCGATCTATGTGTTAATAATTAATAATAATAATTAAATATAATATATATATATATATAATAATTGCATTATAATGTTTCAAATAATTATGTGATACAAGATTTGTATCGCAAATGTATGTGATAAATTTGTATACAAGTATATTCACACAGAAGGTTTCAAACTTTTTTCATAAATTCTCACGATGTTTATTTTTCCTTTGCTGCAATATGTTGTCTGAATAAAAATGTTTATGATCACTGCTTCTTTGTTTTTGTAATTGTAAAAAAAGTAGTATAACGCAAAACTGAGCTATGAAATAACATTTCGAACGTTTCACATATTAAACATTCAGCGGACGACGCTGACTAGCCAGCCCCGGTCAAAAGCGTACATATGAATATGAATAAACAACCAAACATCAGTGACATTCAGAGTGACATACGGGCAGTGACACCGGAATCTCCAACAAGGCTTTTGTTACGTATGATTACGGATCTCTAAAACTAATTAATATTTTAAAATTCAAAACTTTATTGCAATAGGTATTTTAAGTAGTAAGATATCTAAGAATAATAATATAATAAAATAGAAAATTAAAATATTACTCATTCGGAGTAAACGCACAAAACATAATATATTAAGTACAAATTTTAAGGACTTCGTCTATCATTGAGACAGCTGTAAACTTTCTGACCTTGTGCAAAAATTTGCATATGTTAGGGTCGGCCACAAACATAGCGACATATATGTCACCATTTTCATGGTTCACCTCAAGCCGCTTCATCACTTCTTGCACCATACCGATATAAGGTGTCATCTTCTCCTCCGGGACTAGCTCAAAATGCCACGGCAAGCAAATCCTCAATACGTTCCATATAACATCCTGACTGACAGCGTAAGCCAAATTTGGGTCTACATATACTTCACTCTTGTGCTCTTCTTCTGCTTCCTCCTTCTCAATCACCTTCTCTTCTTGAGGTTCCTCCTCGCATGGTTTGCATATATAAGTCATGTTCAGTTCATAATTAGACGGAGCGACTACACTACGACTGCTTTTGGATGCATTACCTAGAACCAAACTCTCTTTACCCTTCACTGAACGACCTGTTTCCATTTTTTTTCCTTTGCCGCCCTTTGTCTTGACTTTGCCCTTCTCTTTATTATCTATTTCATTAGGTAATATTGTAACAGTAGTTCCTTCACAGTAATCTAATACGTTAGTAAGTACTGTGTCTAAAAACTGCGCGGTGCACATGTGGGCACAGGCTAAACATTCATCTTTGTACTGCTTCAATTTTATCATTTTGCATATAACATCCTCGCATTCTTCTAAAGAATAACACGTCTTTTTACCGACGGCCATCGATAACGCTGACGCAAACCCTTGGATTGGATCAACATGTTTGCAAAATGCTAGTAAAAATGCTGAATAATTCATAACGTCTTCAGAAGTTTCATATAACTCATATATAAAGTGCTTAATTAGCTCCCTCCTCAATTGAGCGTACGGATCCTCAATGTCAAAATATCTTTCAAACCACAATTCCTCTTTCAAAAAATCATCCCTGCCAATAACCTCTGTTGAGTCACGATCCTTACAACGAAGTCTATGACGTAAATCTAATAATTCGTCTACTGTTGGGAACTTAATGTTCAAACAATATATAAGGAAATCCCTCCAATCTACATACGCGGTTTCTCCAAAAAACAAATAAACAAGTTTCGATATCTGGTCAGGATCTACACGTTTCCAGCTTTCAGGGACAAGTGGTCCTTCACAGGATTCTTTACCGAAGAACACAAAATCTTGTAGAAGATAAATGAATGCTTGAAGTAATGCAAGGCCAGTTGGAGCCACAATTTTAAATTGAGTCCGAAGTCTGGCCAATTGGCAAATTTTAAATTCTAAATCATTGGGTAATTCAGTGGTCTCTCCTGCTTTTAGTGCAGGCTCAACCAATGCAAACTGCATCAGATTTGGATCAATTACAAACATATCGCCCTCAAGAATTAAGGTTTCTGGAATCTTTCTACCATTTTCAGTAGCCATTTGAAAGTATTTGCAAAGTCTGTCCACAGAGTTGATCTCGTTCAAATAATAGTTATTGATATCATTTTGTATTTCCTTAAACGTCTTAAAAATGTGGTCACTAAAAAGTTTCATATCATGATAGCACTTATATTGCAGCGCTAGCATTCTTAGGGTTACTCTATACATTTCTCCGTTTATACCCATTATCCACTCTTCAATGCAATTTAACGCATTTCGTTTGAAATGTTCTTCTTGGTTGATACTTTCTTGGGAAGAGTCTTTGCTTTCATCTTTTTTCTTTGTCGCTGTCACCAATTTTGCTATATCGCTATATTCTTTACTAATCATTGACCTGTAATGATCATTAGTTTCCTTAACAAATTTCATAGCAAACTTCACATTATTTTCTATTATCATGTTGAATGGATTGTTACTATAATTAATTTCAATATCCTTCATTAATAACTCTTGATAATTATTTTTCATTTGTCTAAATATTTTATCTTCGCCTCCTTTTCGACTTCCAGAAGTTTCATCACTTTCACGATTTATCTTGGTTAAATCTTTGGATACTAGTCTGTCATTTGAAGGTACTTTTTTGATCATAGCGTAGTAAAAATCATGCAACGCTTGAAATGTTAATATCGATCTGAAATAGACGAGCAGAACAGAATTAACTGCATCCGCGGCTGAACGGCTACCATGCTGGAGTGCCACGCAGAGGTCCCGAGTTCGATTCCCTGGCTGGGAGAAATATTTGTATGGCTTACATTGACTTACAAATAAATGGACGACGGGTCTAATACAAAAACCACGAAAAAAATGTCCCAAGTCAACCTATTCGAAATTTAAATTGTAATGTCATCGCAGTATCGCACTGTCAGTAGAACAAATGAAGACTAAAGCGGAGTGTCGCGCTCTGTATACGATTTTAGCGCCTTACAAGTGCGGACACTTTTTAGCGCGGACCCGACGTCCATATAATTGTAAGTCAATGATGGCTTACATTTATTTCTCTCACGAGTTTGGGTGTAATTTGTGGTTGTCTATGTGTGTGTCCATAGCATCCGCGATACAGGGTTTCCCTAATGCGGCTACGAGCCTGTGCGTTAAAAAAAATACGTATATTAAATTATAAATACAGTTTTCATAGCATAAACACAGTTATGAAAATCATCTAATAATGTCTGTAATATCGGGTAAATCGTGGAAAAATTGTACTATCGTCTCAAACACTTGACGTGTTTATGTTTGGGTAATCTTTCGTTAAATTTTATGCACAAATATTGTACCTGTTTAATTCTGTCTGCATACACGATATGTAAGTGTTAGCCATCGTAGTGAGTTCTTCAAATACCCAGTTATCCATTATCAATGCTACCCGCTGCTGTTCGGCGTATATTTTCCTCTCGTCACAAATGTTGTACAATCTATGCTGTAGCTCCTTTATTCGACAGTGCCACTCGTTCTTCGTTAAGTTCACATCTCGCCAGTCGTCTTCGAAGTCATTGTATTCTTTTTGAAACTGACTAACAAGATCTTGTTTAAAAGACGGCAACGTAATTATTTGTTCCATTTTATCTTTGATGTATCTAGCATATGGTATTAAATAGTTCATCTGTAAGCGTTTCGAAAAGAAAAGTTGTTGTAGGTCATGAATATAAGATTTTTCAATTTTTTCCCAACATGTAGCCAAAGCTATACCAATGTTTTCAGAGATAGGTAACTCTCCATACTCCCAATCTTCTTCTCCAGCCAAAACTTTAACTTCCTCCACAGTCCACTCAGATCTATCATGTTCTTCCTCAACATCGTCATCCATGGTTACAGCAATAAGATCGTCTCGCAATTCTTCTTGTGAATCAGGAGCTTTAACGACTTCAAATTCCTTAGATCTACTTTGTTTCGACACATTACGCCTTACCTTTTCCTTAGATCTTATTAAAGACACTTCTGGTTTAATTATTTTAGATTTTGTTCTTTTATCATCTGACGATACAAAGTCGAGTAGGCTAACGACATTCGGTCCAAATAATGAGTCATTGGATTTCGATGGTGTGCTCAAATCACCTATGATATATTTACAGATTTGCACTAAGAGATCTTTCTCTATTACTTCAAAATACATGCTGTAATTTATACCTAAAATTGCATAAAATCTATCAATCAATTCTGAATTTTCTTGTGTTAAATCCCATATTACGTACTCTTGAAGAATATCCTCAGTTTCTTTGAGTTTAATGTAACACGTGAAATAGCTTTCGAATGGTTTTTCAATTCTCTTTTTATGAGGATTATTAACAAGTCTGGATACACGTATTTCTCGGTACGAGTCTTTTTCTATTTTTCGATGTTTTGCTATAGTTTCTTCCAAATAAATATCATCTCTATCGCCGAAAACTTCTTCTGGTGGTGGTTCCCGGCCTGAGAATGTTTCTTCTAGTATTGCTGCTTCGCGGTAAGAATTTGGATAATTTATGATAACAAATCCATTGATCTCTTTATGGCTTTTAATATACTCCACCAACATAGCCGCTAGTAAATGATCGGTTAAAGAATCTCCAAAATTGAGGACTTCATATGCATATTTGCCCAGATCAGCAGCTGTTGACAATACCAACTCTTCTTCCGGAAGCGTTTTTGGTGTTTGTGTTTGTTTAGTATTTGGCGATATAGCAACCGTTATATCACTGCTCTTACTTACATCCTCTTTCAGTGCTCTGACAAAATCTTTACTTTCTTCTTCCGTTGCCACATTAATAAATTTGTCGTAATTCACATCTATATCGGCAACACCAAGCATTTCAATTTTGAATTGTTGCAAACAGTAATTAATAGCGGCCTCGAGTCTTACAACATGAATTTTACTAAAATTTAACAAGGTTTGCATTGGCATAGTCATTGCTTTATCTGGTAAACCTCGAATGAGACCCTTAGCTGTAAAATCTGGAAGATCTGCTGGAGGTCTTGCTGGAGAGAAAGGATATTTAATTTCTAGTAAAGTATAAACTACATGACCCAGAATGCGGGTGCCCAAATACTCATACTTCCGATCTTCGGATTCAGGATCATAATTAGGTATCAATAAATCAAGTGTCCAAGGATACGAATAGTTGTGGTACTCTATGAATTCGCTATCATTTAGGGCATCCTGACGATCTAATTCGAGCCGCAAGATCTCTTCTACTTCGGGTTCAAGCTCCTCCTCTAAAGGATATTCCTTTAAAAGATCTTCCATATGTTCTATAACATCAAAAATGGGTTGTTTTCTAAAGAATAACGATTTCCATTCATGAATGTAGTGAACGGGTATTTGGCCTCCTATCAATTGAGTAAAATATGCGTACTTAGTTGCGTAGTCTACCAAAGCCAGCATTGTTTCGTAACATATTTCATAATAGTGAAGTCGTTTCCTTCTCATTTTCTCTGCGTACAGTTTCTGATGAAGCATTTCCTGTCTATGCTTTTCAAAATCTGTTTCTACCAGTCCTAAGTGGATTTTTTCTTTAAAATTATCTAAGTATTGAGCAAATTGTTGATCTCTTTGTGCAGCGAACTCTTTTTCGGCATCAATTCTGTTTTTAACTAAATTTCGTGCCTGCTGCTTCGTTTCCATTATTTGTGTGCACATTTGTTTCTCGAATTGCGACAATTTCATTACTTTCTTGCCTAAATCTGTATCAAGTTGGGATTCTTCCTCGCCAACAGAAAAATCCCACAAAGAATTACTAAGAACATTTCGGATTTGTTTTTGGAATTCCTCAGAATCTGATTTTGTGTGCATTCTTGTATATAAATTATCAATATAATTTTTTGCCCATTCCGTATTACTCATGCTTTGTTTTCGTTCTAAGGAGCTCTCTTCCAAATCAAGTAGTTCTTCGTAAGTATAGTTTTGAAATTTACATGGGTATTTTAAAGCAAATTTTTCCATGTCTCTTTTTTCTTTGCTAGTCATTTTTTTCACTTTAGGAGCTTTGTACTGAGAATCAATATTCGATTCTTCAATTTTTTCAAGACTTTTTTTGTATCTATATTTAATAAACTCATACGTGTCCTTAATTTCCCTAGATTTCTTTCTTTGCCATTCAATGAAATGTCGTTCGTTCAATAGTGGTCTAGAGAGATGATCTACGGCATACTCTTCTATTTCATCCACTTTGTCAACTTTGAATTTGTCGTTAATTTTCTCTACTAAACTTGAAACCATTTTTCGCTCTCGCTTTATAAAATCTGTACGATCTTTTTTATCAAGAGTTAAAAATAGTTGATAGAATAATCGAAGCAAAACGGAACCCTTTCCTTCTTTTATATTGACTAAATCAGTATCAGCCAAATAAATATTTAATTCATATAGCCATTCCGCCAAATACTTCCAGTTGCTATGAATATCGAGTGGTAAATTGGTGCCTCTTATCAGGAAATATTTTTCTTCGTTAATGACGTGGTAACTTCGGAGGACTCTAGCTACGATTTCTCCATTTTTCATCAATTCACCGAATTCTCGCGGCTCCCAATTTATTGGTTGATTAAGCTTTTCCGTTAACCATTCCTTCAATATTTCAGCCATTGTTTAAGATTCTACACATTAATAAATAAAGACTGTGTTAATCAAATACTTTAGGCGAATGACCTCTTGTGGATTCTTCTTGTTTCTACGAATATTGTCTAATGTCTGTATAATTTTATGTGTCAAACAGATAGTGTCAAGGGTGTCAAATCTTAGATTTTAATGCTTTCTTATAGGATCTATTCAAATATCGATGCTTTACTTTCTTCAACTCGTATCTTATAAAGAGTGATTATTCAGGAGATGGCAAAACTTTCTATTTATTTTAAATTTCTTATCAAGGGTGTTAATTTCGATGCATTACTTTAAAAATATGTAAAAGCTAGTATGTAAATATGAAGGAAATGTGGTGTGACTTGAGCCTCCAAAATTTGTATACACAATCCATTTTTTGCATTTCAGTAACTTTGTGCTTTAAGATACGAGTTTGAGAAAGTAAGGCGACGATATGTCAAACAATAAGGCACTGTGTTAAGCCATTATTAAAGACATTTTTTTTGTATGGTAACACAACCACTACTTGTCAATCTGGTTCAATATTATGACTTTTTTGTGATGTTTATATTTTCTCAAATTTCCATGCATAATTTTCGTATAATCCTAAGTCAAGATGAAATGCAATGAAATCGAGAATAGTGTATGTAAAGTTGTCGCCGTCAAAAATGATATAATCTAACTGTAGTGGGCGTGTGTTAACTAATAATTGCGTTGTTTACAGAAAGCCCGACATAGACACATGAATCTGGACAATTTGGATAAAGCTTTGCACGACTTGGGCATGTTGAGCGCGATAACGGAAGCGCGGCGCGAGTTTCTGCGAGAGAATCGATCAAACCTGAATGTAATGCGCCTCAATACGCGCTACGTGTCCAACGTCACCGTGGGATATTGCATGAAGAGGACCACAACTAAAAACAGGTTGTGTCCTTATGTTCTACCCATACGCCACAGAACTAAGAGTGAAAACTCTGATGTGGTGGGCGGCGAAGCAAGCGATGCATGCGAATTTAAGAGCAGTATATTTGAACCCTCTACAAGCAACTGCACTAGTATGTGCGAGGGTAAAAGCCCTGCGAAGCGTTGCCAGTCCCTGGAAAATCTTAACCTTTCTGTGGACCCGCCGCCTGGACCTGAAATATCACCTGACATGGACTGTGTGTCAAGTCGGATCCAAAAATTGCAAGTTGATGAATGACATGGCCAGTCTGCAATCAACAACTAAGCATCTGTAAGTATACATCATAAGAGTGCATCGGCGGCCGTTGTAACAAGTATTCAAGTGATGGATGTTAAGTAATTATACTTTTCAGTGTATTTATACCAATGATAGTATGGTTAATATGTGTAGATGAGTTGATGTATGTTCCTAGCTCTTTGATGTTAATTTTGCATGTAACCCATCTCATTGATCGATAATCTCAATTCACTAAACAGTAAGTGTTGCTCAAGATATTTTGCAATGGGTACAAATTGTAAGAATTATAGATAATTATTTTGTATCGTGTTTAGGTATTAATTGTTCTAAAAGTTGTAAAGTTTGTTGAACAATGTGAATTTTTTTAGTTGTACGGTCACTTTGAAAGTACCATTTAAAGTTTTAAGAACAAATTTATTGTTTCCTCTAAGTCACAGATGCACAATTCTGCCGCCGGTTATTGAATGGGCGCATGTGACAAAAATTCAAAACTGAGAAAACAATGTTTAAAGAAATTAAATTAAATAAATATCTACTTTAATCTTGCAGTAACTTTGTACAAAGTACTGACAGATTGGCATATTTTTTAATGATTACGGCAGTATACATAAGAACATTTTTTATAAAATGTCTCATGCACCCTTTCAACTAACGGTGGCAAAATTATGGCACTTAACATGAGCAATGCAGGGAATGTGGACAGCTACATGGTATCAAAGTGATGTTGCAATCATTAACACATTGTATGAAAGTGTATGGCCACTTTGATCCCCATACATTATCATTCAAAGTGAAACTGAGTCAACATAATATGAAGTATAGATCTGCAACATGGGACGCTGTGGATGGGCATAGTACACTTCAGCCATTAAAAGTTGTTTGTAAAATGGGGTCATGTGTTTACAAGATATAAAGGTTGTTCTGAAGAGATGTAACACTCTTAAAATTGTAATTATTGTATTATAAGACTGTGCATAGATCTCATTTCATTAATTCACGTCCCTTATTTTCTATTGTCCAAACTGCCTTTGTGACTTAGATATAGATACTTATGTTTGTTAACATATTTTGTTATTTTCTTATTTAATAACAAATATTTAAAATAAATATTGCTTTGAAAATTGTAATGATTTTTAATTACAATTTTTTTTTTATTTAAAGAAATGTTTCATTGCACTTATTTATATGAACAACTGCTAGTGCCAATAAGCAAACTGTTGTTGTAGTCATTCAATTTGTAACATAAGTCTATGCAGACAATTTTTTTGTGCTGATTATGCGAAATAATGAAAAAGTCCATCACCGCTTGTTTACCTGCAAATCACACATTGAATTTACACTTTTAAAGCTTTTCCGACCTATATGTAGTTTAGAGAAAAGATACAAAGCGTATTTTTCAGTATTTAAAATCTATATAATATTAAATTATCAATTTGTTTATGCTCATAACTTAATAATGTAAAAGTTTAGGATGGCAACATGAATCAGCCTTTCTTTTGTTCCAATGTTGTATTATTGTTTCATACACAACAGGAAAAGCACAAGTTTTCATGGAAAGCTCTATAAAATCTATAAACTTTTTATAGCAAAATTTTTCGCTTTTTGTAAAGCTTGTGAAAGATTTCGTCCAAGGAAACACTACCTTAACTATTTCTGCCATCAAGCAAGGTAGTAAGCGACACGCCTGTCCATAATAGTTGCAGGGTCACTTAGAGCTTATTAATCACAAAGATCTGAGGGGCACTGCCATTAAGCCCGTCACCCTGAGACCAAGTTGACAAGTCCTTATGTTTGTGCAATTTCACCAGCACCCTTACCCTTTAAAACTCTTAAAAAACACTCTTAACAGTTCGGTACTTGAATTTTCGAGTATTTTGCAAATGTCAAGGTGAATGTCGAGAACATTTTCAAGTTTCCCTTCTGGTTGGAAGTTATGTAACATCTCCAGAGAGCTAGTAGAGGATGAGCTAGACATTCTACGGTCCGTCCAGCCGCGTAGGTTTCTGGGAATTGGAGCACCAAAGAGATTTGGTAGTGTACTTTAGAGACGACGGCTTAGCGGTGGCAACCGTTAGTTGAGCAATGTGCAACGGGGGGTGAGCGTGCTGCTCCAGTACCTATTTGGAAAATAATGGGGGTACTGTACGTACACCCAGGGCGACTCACCCGAGGCACTAGCCTCTTGAGAACTGGATGAAGTCAGTGACAACCTTGTACACTAGCTGACCTGGGTCAGAACCTGAACGGAGAGGTTCCTGTGCCCCAGGTTATAGTGCCCTTCTCGTATACCCTAAGGGTCTACTGACGGGAGGGTCACTATAATCAAAACTAATGTAGAAAGATATGGGGCTGTCAGTAACAGTTGCAATGCCACTCAAAACTTACCACGCGGTTGCATTATTTTTATATTTATAGATTGCAGTCATAAATCATAAATACAAAATACGAACATCTACAATGACGAGGTGCCATGAGAGAGCTCAAATATTAATTAACAAAATTAAACAATATTTCACTTAAAATTCATTTATTCACTGAGTATATTTTAACGCTTAGAATAAATAACAAAATCGACTGTAAATTATTGCATTTGACTGATGCTTGTGAGATCCAAGCTTGTCAGATACCGGAAGTGCCAACGCATGTAAAACTAGTAAACATTAAGAAAAGCATAAAGCATACAAAATTTACACTGCGTTAAGGCGAAAATCCCATTTATCCCAGTTATACCTTTATTATTTATAATCTAATGGTATAAATGAGATAAACTAGTGCCACCTATACCATTACAGGTATAAATGGGACAATTTAGTACCACTAATACCCTTAACAGTATAACTGATCCGAAGGCAAACTAGTGCCACCTATACCATTACTGGTATAAATGGGACAGGTTAGTACCACTTATACCATTAATGGTATAACTGGTCCGAAAGGAAACTAGTGCCACCTATACCATTACAGGTATAAATGGGACAGGTTAGTACCACTTATACCATTAATGGTAAAACTGGTCTGAAGGCGACAGATTAGTACCATTTATGCCATTGATGGTATAATTCAATGGTATAATTGGTCCATAGTCAGTTTGGTAACACTGATATTTTGCAATACTAGCTCAGTGTTTAATGGTAATAATAAGCAACCAGCCAGCTGTTATACTTTTTTGTTGTGAAGGTATATAAGTACAGACATGCTTATTTAATTAAATCACCATTATTATTGCCATATTAGGGCACATACACCTCTTCAGTATTGCAATCAACAATCGATTGAGATCACCGCTAACTCGGGAGTTAATTAAACCTGTAAAATGTTGAATTGTCTTGATTTCGACTTCATCTGGCTCTGTCATATTAACACATATATGCAATATTTTACTTTTACTGAACATCATGGTGTATGTGAGATTACACTTGCGGTTAGTCTGCATTGATGCAATCGCGCGTTTGTATCGATACAGTCGCGTGTTTACATCGCTGCTTAAAATCGCGCGTGTGTGTAAAGGTAGACGATTAGCTACTGCGTCGCGTTTGCATCGCTGCTAAAAGTCGTTGTGTGCAACCGCTCTATGATATTTTTTTTTTTTTTTTTTGAAAATACTCCACTAGTTTGTTATTATTAATATTGATAACAAAAATCGAACCAACCCAAACAAAAATTCCTTCGACCCGAATGGACTCGAACCAGCGTCTGTTGCCTCAACGTGGCCACCGCAGTCTTCGCAATGATCTTTGTATCCATAATATTTACACATGCAGGGTTATTTGTAAAATGCCAACAGCCTCGCAGGATTAATAACACAATAAACAACAATTTTTGTTCCATGACTATTAATAATTCATCAGATTTTACTGATAACTCTATAATAATAACGCATACACACATAGCCCCGCACTAGGAAAACCATGTGTCGCGGATGCTATGGATACACACATAGACAACCACAAATGACACCCAAACTCACGAGAGAAACAAATGTAAGCCATACAAGTATTTCTCCTGGCCCGATCGAACCCGGGACCTCTACCTCTGCATGGCAGACCAGCATGGTAACCGTTCGGCCACAGAGGTGATAAAAAGTTTAGTCCGAGCGGTAGCAAAAGAAAGCACGCGGGAGGCGTTGCTAAACAACTTACAAATACAGATTTAATAAGTTAGTACAACAAAAAAATAAAAAAATATTTAAAGTTGTTGTTTATGATGTTAGTAATATAGTCCTGCGAGGTTGTTACATTTTACAAATAACGTAGTATATATCAATGTATTAATTATAAGTTATTTTGGACCCTATAACGGTAGAATAGACATTAAAATTCACGATATCAGCTGAAAAAAAAGTTAAAATCCCGCACCAAAAAACTAGGCGCAAAATTATAATTTGTTATCAGCCTTTTCAACACAGGTCAGGTTTATTATCCGCCCGTCTCACATTTATTTTAAAAGTAATAGTGTAGCCACTTCCGATATCTTCGACAATATTAGCTTAAAGCGCTTTCATTTTGAGCTGTTTCATTTTCGGCGCTTTTCGTTTCTGCTGACGTTTCTGCTCTTTCAGCTCCCAACGACGTTGTTTCTCGGGATCGTCTTCCTGTAAGTATTTGGTTAATTAAATATCAAAATGGTTTCGATACCTCCAATGAACACTACGCTAACTTAATTTTTGCACCTGTTCTGCTTTTATATTGTTTTTGTTTTTTACAAAATTCCTTTTTTTTCGAATTTTGTTTCTTGTTTCTTTATTTATTTTACACAAAATTCGGGGAGTATGTTACTACATACTAATAATAAATATGACTGTTTACAAAAATAACAGAATATGACCAAAAATCAATTTAGCGTAGTGTCCATTGATGGTATCGCACAGTGGGTCGTATCTGCAAAATTGCGGACAGTGGATTTTTTTTCACGATACCTCTGTAAAAAAATGCCAATCGAGAGATCTATTGTCCTAATAAAATATTGTAATGTCACATTTTGCCATAAATGTAATAGTTTAGTAGGAAAAAAATAAAAAGTGTATGTTTTGTATGGGACAATACCTTTAGTGCCCCATTGTTACAGTCTTAGTCGATCCAGTCTTGGAATCACTACAGAGGTGGTATACCTATCTTTTATAGATTTGCACACTAAACGCGCACCCAAACATGCCTATGCACTACTTATGCCTATCAGAAAATGTGCAAAAATTGATCATAATTACTTGGTTGAATACATTAATTAGAAATAAATCAATAAGATAGTTTTTTTTTTGTTGGAAAAGGTCGTAAATGCAACTCAGGCTTGTAAAAATGCACATTTTATTTTTTTCCTACTAAACTATTCGATTTATGGCAAAATTTTACATGACAATATTTAATTAAAACAATAAGATCTCTCGATTGGCATTTTTTTTAGAAAGGTATCGTGAAAAAAAATCCAATGTCCGCAATGTTGCAAATATGACCCACTGTGTATAGGTTTGTCATTATAAGAGTCAACTGGGAATTAGCGACTTTTCGATGTTGTTTATTTTACTTAATTTTGTTTACAAATAAAATGTCAAGAAACCTTATTGGCTGGTTTATTGATAAAGAGAGTGTATAGATATTTACAATTTCGGTTCTTTAGACTAAGGGAATCACCACACTCATTAACACGAATTCGGTTTGAGTCGGTCAGAAAAAGCTTTATGCATTAACAGTCGATACTACCTGAGCTCGAATTCAAATTTTTCCCATACTCGAGTCGAGCTGTAGGGACACTGGCTTTATTTCAGATTTATTTTTTTACAAACGAAATTAAAGCCATTTGAAAAATGCATATCGTGTAGTATACGTGTTCTATATAGCTCAGTTGATATAAAAAATATAAAAAAATACCTATCGAATACAGCGGGTTTTCTTGTAAAATTTCGAGGTAAATTTTTATTGAATTGATACTCAATTACTTTTTATGTGAAATTACTCCACTAGTTTGTTATAGTTATTATTACGAAGATCGAACACTCAGAAAAAAATACTTCGACCCGGCCGGATTCGAGGTGACGTCTTCTACCACACCGTGTCAGACGCTATACCAACTAAAGCACGGAACGAAACAGCGGACCTCACGAATTTTTCTGTGTTTGTTGTCGTGTCTTTGTTCTTGGTATTTTCAACGACTTTTAGCCGTAGCGCCATCTATGAGAAATCTTAAGTATTTCATCACCCAGGTAAGCTTGTATTTTTTTTCTATCGAGAAAATTTATAGAAATCGTGTTTTCATCGTGTTTTAATCAGTGTATTTTCTCAATTTGAGTATATATTTTTTCCAAAGTAATTCAACACTTTTATTTTATTGAATTGCTACCATGATATTCAACTATTTCCGTGAAAACACTCCACTACTTTGTTGTTGTTATTGATACGAAAATCGAACAAACACAAAAAAAATTCCTTCGTTCGGCTGAACTCGAACCATCGACCTCGCTAAACCGGCGCTATCGTTTTCCAAGCGCACGTTGACGTGCATTTCGCTTCAGCTTAAACCGCCGGCGCCGACGCGAAACGTACGTATTTTTCACTCTTATTATATGGACGTAAAACCTTTTCTGGTTGGCTTATTACGATTCCATGTGGTGACCCCTTTATGGTGCATTTAAGGTGTAAACACTGAGCCGTTTAACGACCGTAGTTCGCTGACTAAGTCGACCGACTCATATTGCCGAGGGACTCTGTCGCTTTTGACAAGAGACGTTTGACCACAGAAGTGAAAGCATTCCCCACCGGGAAAACCTACTCGGTAAGTTTCTTGAACGTTTCAACGATGTGTTGTGTAAATTTGCATTTATAATGACTTGGCGACAGTGTAAACGAGTGTGTGACTCCCATATCGTCGCCTTAGAGTTTTGTTATAGTTCGTTTTTAGTGATTTTTGTTGAAGAAAAACTTATAAACTTCTTTATATTATCAAATTAATATAGTATCTGAAAGAGGTATAATTTAACTAATCAAAATTATAACTACAAACATTATTGCGATTACTGCATTTTACACCACATTTTTGTCTTCGTCCTGAATAATATAAATATTAATAAAAATAGAAATCACGTACGAGGTTTTCACTCTAAGACGACGATACACGATTTGTCTTTACGAACCATCGTATCAAACTAATCGATGAGTGGTGGTGGGGTGCACGAAAGTAGCCTCCCCGCACAACGTACTATTTTAATCTGTACGTCTAGCGCGCACTGGGCCTTAATCGGCGTATACCTGACGCCGATTGGCAAATTCTTTCACCACGATGGCATTGTTACGATAAGAAGAAACTAATGGAAACAACGATTGGATAATATATGTTTATAATTTGTCTTCACGATCCGTCGTTTCAGACTGATCGAAACGATTAGTCTTGAATTTGAACGCCAAGAGAGTAGCGACAGATCGCTACGCCTATCGTGATCAAAATCAAAGAATCGTTTATTCCATAAGTAAAATAAATTTATACTCGAAAACCATTGACCTACCAATAAATGGACATCGGGTTCGCGCTGAAAAGTGTCCGCATCTATAGGGCGTTAAAATCACATACAGAGCGTCAATCGCGCAACAGTCTTCGTTTGTTCGACTGTCAGCGCGGTTGTCAATCACGCAGTTCCATATAATAATAACTTGTGAAAATTGCTGCAGTAAAGTGTAAAAACAGGGTTTTGTATCATATTTTCACTAAACAAATATATTGTGTTATCATAGTTCTCAGCTATTTTGTTCAGTTTTATAGTATTTAATTTATATATAAATGAATCGTAAATATAAATTACAAAAGCACACAAAATAATCAAATAGCTAACTGTCCTTTTTCTACACATTGCACGCGCAAAGGATGGAAAGAGACCCGTTGTGTCAATTTCAAGAAGCTTATATATAAACTTCTTGGTCATTTTCAATTGTTCGAACCACAAGCGATTGAAATATTTAGAACAAAGAAACTATAGAGTCCAATGACCTACCAACAAATGGAGATCTGGTCTAATACAAAAACCACGAAAAAAATGTCCGAGGTTAACCTATACAAACGTAGTGACTTGTAACCAAATATAAAAAACTAAAACATTTAATTTAAATTGTAACGTCATTGCAGCACTGCCTAAATTTGCTTGCAACAATTTAAGGGCCCAAAACACCATATTCAACTTTTACTGGAAACTTAACAAAATGCATCATATTTAGCTTCGACTGAAAATTACTTGAGCACAAGAGTAATGCCTTTCTCGTAAATATATATATATATATATATATATATATATACTCGTATATATATATATATATATATTATTATGTCGAATTTTGTACAAAATCACTTAAATGTATAATAAAGAGTTGGGCAGATACATACGTACAAATATTACTACAAATGTGAAAATAAGCGTGTACTATAAGAAATGTACGGATATTCTAACTAAACGTAAACTCAAATATCCGTTACTGTGTTCATATTATACATCATAATTATTTATAAACTTGTTCCTATTTGTTATTAATTAATCTAACTGCCTCAGTGGCCGAACGGTTACTATTTCTGACTGCCACGCAGAGGTCCCAGGTTCGATTCCCGGGCCGGGAGAAATGTTTGTGTGGCCTACATTTATTTCTCTCGTGAGTTTGGGTGTAATTTGTGGTTGTCTATGTGTGTGTCCATGGCATCCGCGACATAGGGTTTTCCCTAGTGCGGGGCTATGTTGAGTGTGTGCGTTATTTATTTATTATTAATCATGTTATGCACCCCTGTTAATTATTTTGAACCCAGCTCTCCGGTTGACTGATAGAGAATGCCTAAAGGCATTAAGTCCGCCATTTGTACGGAATAAAGTTTAAATAAACAAATATCTGGACGCCTTAAAAGACGGACAGAAAGCGAGTATACGCACGGCGAGGATGCGTTCCTTCTCCTGCTTGCGCTTCTCCTCGCGGCGCTGCGCGGCCTGCTCCTGTCGCGCTGCGTGTGCGCCGCGCAGCCAGGCTTCCGCCACCTTCTGCCGCCGCTTCTCGCACTTCGCCAGCGCCTACGCCACATGGCAAACATTTCACATATCTCTTCCTATGTTTTTTATTTATTTTTTTATTAACCTATATTATACTAGCAATTAAATTGTATTGACAATTATATTATTAAATTACTTAATCTATAACATCAGCGCATCCTGATGACACATAGGTGTCCCCCAGCTCAATCCATCTGGCTCTGTCCCTTGTCAGCCTAGTCCATAGAGGTCCAGCTATTTTTTTTAAGTCATCGGACCATCTTTAAAAGGGACGACCTCTTTTCCTCTTGACATTTTCTCTTGGTAACCATTCTGTTACGTTTCCGATCCACTTTTCAACTCTTTCCACTTCCACTTTATTGTTTTGTTCTTTCTATGTGCCAAACTTTAATGTCCATAAAACACCTAGCCCTCTGTTGGCCATAACAACTATGTGACAACATAATGGTTTTGGTAGCAGCAGAGCTCCTTGTGAAAGAGTTCGTCCAGGGTAGTACTGCCACCTTGTGTACTTCTGCCGCAAAGCAGTAATGTCAGCATTACTGTGTAAGGGTGCTGGTGAAATTACAGGGACATGAGACTTGTCAACTTATGTCTCAGAATGACGGGCGCAGTTCCAGTGCCCCTCAGATCTTTGCGATTTAAAGGCGTGTCGCTTACCACCAGGCTCACAGACCTGCTCGTCCCGTCACTTGATATTATAAGACAATAAAAAAGTATAACACAATGATTCGTCGTTGAGTTTTTTATGACGTGTTTTTGGGATAAAACATTTGATAAAACATCATTCATTCATTTAAAAAAACTCACACATCACTTTTGCAGATTTCAACAATGAAAAATTCTGCAGATGCCATCATAAACCAACCTACAATAGATCACCGGTAATTCCACAATGGGCTATTTAGTACAACGTATAGCATGTATGTCTACCTCCTTGCTCATCCTGAGGCGCTTCAGCTTATCCAGCAGGTGGAAGATGAGAAGCAACAGCGGCCGCAGCTCTTCGCCGCCCCCTTCCGCGCCTAACGCCAGCCCCACTAGCATCACGCGCTCCGTCTCCGGCGGCTTCGTCACCTGCGTCTCTCTGGAACATCATCACTTAACTGCATCTGTGGCCCAATGGTTACCATGCCGGACTGCTGCCACGCAGAGGTCCCAGGTTCGATTCCCGGGCCGGGAGAAATATTTGTATGGCATTTATTTCTCTATATGTGTGTCCATAGCACCCGCGACTCAAGTTTTCCCTAGTGCGGGGCTATGTTGAGTGTGTGCGTTGTTATAATTATAATCATCATGCCTCCGAAGTTCCGTAATTATTGACATACATCATAGGCAAAAAAAATGCAGAAAGTCCTGGACTCTTTTTTTCCTTTAATTTTAGTGAAGCAACGTGCTCTTTAGCTCCGATATTTAAGGGTCGGCGGACTAAAGCACATAAGTCAAAATCCAACATCATTCATTTAAATTATACATCTACCGGCTAAAGCACATAAGTCAAATTCATTTGTTACTTCATAAATTTGTAACTTTATTCTAGTGGCGCCTTTTTCAAATTTATCGTTCTCTTCACATCTAACACTACAAACAACACAAAAAATATATAATTATATATTAACAAATGAAGCACTTTAGACTTATGTGCTTTAGTCCGCCGACCCTAGTCAAGCCTTACACTTAAGACTTAAATCCAACTCTTTGCCGCTTACGATAAGAACGGTCCAAAGTACAAAGTGTCAAGCTTGATGTGCTCTTGACTGTACATGTCATGTTATAAATAATTAGAATAAAGTCTTTTTGTTTATTTATAATGAATCGTTGGATTCTTCTCCATATGAACGAGAATCATCACTTGAATTCTCAGTAACATTAATTATTAATTCTTGAGCACACAAATTGTCAAACGCAACATCACGATCCCATCAGACTATATAATATCTTCTTTTTTTGAATTTTGAAATACCTTCATTCTTGATTAAAACTCCTTCGTAAATAAAATTGATTGTTATAAAAAAATCGAATCGGAAACGTATTAGGACACACTGATTAGAATCGAGCTGTCAAAAATTAAATAAATGGTTGCATGGAAGTTCGTATGGCGTAAAGCCTGGTAAATGCTGACTCTCACTTATGACGAATTAGCGTACTATTTAGATTTATGTAACGTAATGCTTTTCTATTATTCTTTGAATTTTTTTGTACTTTAGTCTTATAAGGTTTTTGTTTGAAAAACAAAACAATTTGATTGGACCTCAATTCTAATATCAGTCGAGATTAAGTTTTATTCGAAATGAAATGTCAATAGCAAAGAATTTTGACAATTTCACACGTTACTTGATATCGAACGATATGATAGTTGGGGTCGATTCCAGTTTGTCTATGAATTAAAAATAAAAACTATGGTTGTGTGACATGCGTGAGAAAAGTTTTTATTTGCCGCCATTTCGCCAGTCGTAACATGCGGTTCCTGAACACATTACAGAGATCTTATAATAAGTGTGTAGATAGTGTATGTAACTGTACACAATTAGGCATTAAAACACTCGTGAGATGTTTACATGAATCTCGCCTGTCGGTTCGTTTCATAAACCCTCACTCGTGTTTTCAAGCCTTTCATTATGTAACGGTCACATAAACTACTATTTTTAAAACGTCCTTTTCCGCCATCATTACATAAGTTTACTTTAAAACATCGAGTATATAACCAGAAATAGAGACGAAATGTCATTTAATTTGTTTGAAAACTATTCAGCCAAATCATTACGGTGACAACTGCGCTCCGATTGGCCAACCCGAATTCGAAACAATTGACGGATGTTGTCAATTGTCTCACTTCAAATGGACCAGTTTAACTTGAGCTTTGCTTTAATGGACGAAAATTGAAAAACTACATTTTTAATATTTAATTATATAAAATTATTAGATGTTTGCTGTTTCCCAAACCCCCGAATGGAACAGTTATTGTTAGAGATATTATCTTTATTACAATAAATACAGAATATTTTTGGAATATACGGAGACGTACACACACGTCAGTGGTTGACGCTGTACTATTTCTAATTTGTGATTTCAGTGCAAACGAGAGTTGATATTTAAAAGTGATATGAGGCCAATTTGCCTGATGCGTTACCAGGGATGGATTTATTTCTGGTTATATACTCGATGTTTCAAAGTTAAACACACGTATGTTAAATAACTCTGAAGTAACAAGTCTTTACATTTTAAGATTATACAACTCCCGAGTGAGATGCTCAAGGTCGCGTCACAATGCATTACAATGAAGAATTTAAAAGAATAAAAATCATGCAAATTTTAAGTTGTTTGTTACAATTTACTTAATTATATTTATAGATTTCTATGAATATAATTAAGTAAATTTAAACAGTCGGCCAATGTCAAGCGACAATAATACTGTAAATGAAATATAGACGTTATTGTTGTACTATCTGACACTTTTAAGATCTTTATTTGGTAGCAAGATCAAATGCGTGAGCATCCTCCCCAACAACCCCCAGCCCCGCTCTGCCTTTTACACCGGACGATTAAATAGAGTTATTACCGTTTAGAGAGATCTACTTTTTGTTCTTGTACGAAAGTAAAATCCGATGAATTGTTAACCAAGAAAAATTGGCGGGTTTTGTAGTTACAGTTTTTACACGATAATTTTTTACTTTTACGTTTTCAGTTTCTTAATTATTCGTAATTTTTTTAGGCTGTAGTCAATGCTCACTAAATAAATAATAATAGTCACCTAAAGAGCACGTGATTCGAGAAAACTCAGTGAAATTATGTGTAAAAAAGCTACTCACTCCATCTGCTTGGGCCCGCAGTACCGGTCAGAGATGTGAATGTACTGTATGTGTTGGTGATATTGTGTAAGCGCTTGCGTCACGCGCGAATCCAAGATGGCCGTAGTCGCCTCTGCCACCTCTGACATAACAGATAATGTAGAGGGAAGTCCATGCTTGTCGCCCGGCCGCCGCTCTGGGCAAAACACACTCTGTAAAAAAAATATACGAATTAGAATATATAAAAAAAGGTAAAGTCGATAGATTTTTAGTGTATTTGATCTTTAAGCAAAAGTTCTTTTTTATAGTTATATTTTTCTGACGTATTCTGAACGACGTATAAATATATGAAGTGTTTTGTATAATATTGAAGACATAAAACACACAACTACAATTGAAATGCAATATCCATAGACATTTTATAAAATTTCGAAAAACATCCTATCGTAATGACGACTGACTTTCATTCGCATCGTGAGACGGGCTAGCGCGGGTTGAGGTAAGGGTGATGGAAGGGGTCACTTTGGTATCAACGCTTAAAAAGCAACTGAATAAAATACGTTCGTCTGTCGCTGCAATCGAATTTTGTTGCGTTTTTTCTGTTGTTTCAACTCACAAAATTACGCTCGTCTCGCCTCACCCTTAGTGTTATTCTTACTTTGATTTGGTTTACTTACTTAAAGAAAAGCTATTCACTTAAAAGCGAGACTTATACAAATAGTTTATAATGTATAAATACGTAAATTAGTGCACGTCGTTACAAGGTTATATTGCACGTCGTTACAAGGTTATATTGCACGTCGTTACAAGGTTATATTGCACAGATTTTTATGAACTGTCACAAAGATCATGCTAGATTATTTTTAGTAAAGTAACAGAGCCCAATGAACTAACCAGATCCTGCATCTCCTTGGAGAGTTTAGTGGCGATTTTCTTCTGCGCGATACATAGCACGAAGGGATCGCTGTCGTCTTTGCCGAGTTCCACACGCACTAGCAGCGTGTCCGTTTGCGGCCGTACCGCGCCCAGCACCACATGGACTAAGTCTTGTCTCTAGAGACACAAAAAAAATGGCGTGCTTTTGAAGTTACAATTACAGCTTTAAGTTGTTAAGTATACTATGAAGAAAAAACCACGAAAGAAATAGTGATGAAGAAAGTTAGAACCATATTCCTTATTTTAAACCAAATTACAAAAGACTGTATCCTAAAAATTCCAATAATTTTCAAAGTTTTTGTTCAAAGTGATAGAAGATAATGTGATTACTTAAATCAAAGAAAGTGAAAACATAAATATTGACTCTCGCCGCTTAAGGCTATTTCAAAAACCAAATAAATGAACTAAGTTATTCATGGGAAAGTGAAAACATAATGTATTAGAACCACAATGAAAAATATTACCGACAATCTCGATAATTAAACGAAGACATGACTCGAAGGACTTGTATCCAAGCCAAAACTTAATTAAAAAAAAGGAACACAATACAACGTAAATTTGACATTTCAAGTCGTGACTGGTTAACTCGTCTAAGTATTTAACTTAATTTATGCATGTAAACAATCAATGTGAAGTAATAATCGATGGGTAAAGTAGAAAAGTAGATCGATTATTCTCGGACTAGTGTTCACTACCTAATTTCCGTGGCAATTTTTATTATTTAAATATTCAAGTATATTATCGTGTAATTTATTAAACAATCTTTTCACGATACAATACTCGAATAAGAAATAATATTGCACGAAAAAAAATCGTATACTTAAATTTTAAACATTGTCACCGAAATTAGGTAGTGAACACAAGTCCGAGAATGACCGAGATTTTGAATCAAATATTTTTTTTTTGAGGAAGTGGTAGGCGTGGCGCGCAGTCTGACGTGGCAGCAGCATTCCGTACATTTGATAGACATAGACATTCTTTATTGGTAAAATTTACATATACAAGTCATAAAAAAATATAAATTATTTATTTATTTATTTATTTTTAAGACAACCAACAAGACATAAATCAAATAAAACAAAGAGAAACAGTGACACAGAGACTTATGCCGAATTCTGCCTCAATTAAAGGTCGACTGCATGAAAAAGTGGACACGACAGAACAGAAACAAGTTGATCCAATGATTTAAAACAAATGACGTAAAATAAACTATATCTTGAATAATATAAATAGCTACAATTAATTAAATGTTATTAAGTTTAATTAATTTTTTAGTAAAAATAGATTCGAGTTATTGTACTATTCTATAGTCACATTCAAAATTATTCAAATTATAATTAATATCGAGTTCTTAGGTTTTCGCGATTGTTACTCGTAGGAAACATTTTTTTTTTCGGATCATTTTTTCAAACAAACTAACGTTTCGGATTAACAGGTCCCATGGGACACGGCTGTCTGAGATGGCAAAGTCATTAACTATAGTCGTCACAAAATAATAGATCATATTTGACACATGTCATCGCAACGTAAATAGTGATGTGAACTGCAATATCGGTAACCAGTTTAAACGATTCTCACGAGAAATCGATTAAAAATTTTAGGAGTTTGTAATCGTTTAGGTTATTTTTCTGTTCATTGCTTTTCAGTTCTAGATATATCAATCAACATTTATTTAAACGTTATACAGTTTAATAGAAATAATAAGTAAGTATTTTAAGTGAGCACAACGGCAACCTGTACTTGTTGTTGTATTGTAGTTATACATTAGCATAGTTCACGAGGATAACCTGTACGTAAATAACAAAATTCTGAAGTAAAACAAAAGACCTCCTTATTGGAATTTTTTATTTATCAACGTCATCGGAAGATGAACCAAAACCATCTGTTGAGCTAGTTTCACCAGTCCATATAATTAACTCGTTTTCAATTAAATTATCAATATTAACATCTCTGTCAAAATCTTCTTTTATTAGTTTTCTAGTTTTTTCCACCACCTTTCTCCAGTCTTCCTTTGTTACTTTAGTACATGCTTCCTTTAATAAAGTCATCATTTTTTTTGTGGAGAACGGTGGCTTAGTATTATTACGTCCTGCGTAGCCTGTAAAAAAAAAACACTGTTGTAAAATAGTAATGTTCCTTCACAGTGATATTACAAATTCGAAAGTTTATATGTTACCTCTTTACATTTGTACTTTATTAAAATATGCTACTAGTACAAAATAAGTCTTAATATATACGAATTTAAAATAACAGTATTAAATGCAAAAATATTAACCTTTAATTTGAGCCCAAATCAACTCAATAGCATTGTATTGACAGTGGTACGGCGGTGTCCTTATAATTTTATGTCCATGCTCAAGTGCCAATTCATCAATTTCATACCTAAGTTTTGTAGGTCTATGCTCTCGCACTAATCTTAACAATTCCACTTTCAATAGCTCCATGTCAGCTTCGACACCATTCCTCTGTAGCCATGCCACCAAATCAGCCTTTTTATTTGCCTGAGTCGGCGCTCGATCTATTTGAACCGAATGATACGATGCATTGTCCATAATTATTGTACATTGTTCGGGGAGGTTCTGAAGTAAAGTTTTAAACCACTCTTTAAATTTGTTTGCGTCCATTTCTTCGTGATATTCTTTTGTACTTTTTGATTCAAATGCTAGTAAAGCATTATTAACGAAACCTCCCCCGGCTGATCCAGCATGGCAAATTATGAGGCGACCACCTTTTCCCATTGGCACTTTCGAGCTGGATGCTTTAGTGTCGTCGGTCCATGATTGTGGTACTGTGTGGTTTGAGTTCAACCAAGTCTCATCGATAAACACAACATTATCCCAATTTGTAATTTTATTCATTTCTCTCAAAAATGAAACTCTTTGTAATATTAAATCATGTCTTTCCATCATAATATTTCTTTTGTCAGACTTCTTGTATTTAAAACCAATTTTTTTCAAAATTGTAATCAGTGAGGTAGCACTCCCAGTAAATAAGCCAAGCTCTCGAAGTGATACCAACAATTTACTCACAGTAGGGTACTCGTGTCTAGTATAATATGTATAAACATGGTTACGAATAGCGTCTGCATCGAACGTGTCGATACCTGTTACAGGCTTGCTTTTCTTCCTCTTTCTAGGCGTATGTAATACGTTTTCTTGAGAGCCGGAAGGCCCATATTTTTCTTGTATGATGGTGTGTACCGTTCTTTTGCCGATTCCAAGTGCACTTGCGACGCGATTTTGCACTTGTGTCACTGGTAATAGAGGTCCACCATTAAGTGACTCCCTTTCGAAATAGTCGTGTAATTTCACAACCAGTTCGCGAGTCTGGCTATTTAAAGCACGTCCTCTTTTCGACATGTTGAAAAAGAGTTCACACAGAATCAAGTCCAAAATATCCAAGCCAAGGTCAACGAGATTGAAAATAGAAGTAGTCCAAAAGCACAGCCGAGTCACAAGAAAAAACACCACGAATAACCAAGCGTACAGTCAACTTCCAAGACGGCGAAAGACTGCGCGGGCGCCGATGCAGAGTGACGCTAAATCGACATCAGTGTTGCCGTTTCAGAATTTGCGATAAAGAAAAGGAAATACAAATCTGACTTTACGGTTCTGTCTACTATAAATACTAGTATACTCAGTCTAATTTTGTAAGCACTTTAAAATTTTTGTTTTTGTAATTAAATAAGTCATTTTTTTAAGTGAAACCGATTTGACTCGATGATAGTCGGCGCGTATTGGTTACAACATTATTATTAAAAAGAATTATTTCTTTGTAGACTGAAGATGTAACTGTTTATAAGACGTTTCGGAGTAACCCAAAATTGGATTTTATTTTGGAATTCCTGCGAAAATAATACTTGAAATATGTTTCTTTCATAATGTATAGACCTTCAATAAAATTTATGTATTTTTTTAAAACCCAATAAGTTATTAATTGCTTATTTACTGTTTCGTTGATTGCATTCAACGTTACATACTATCGACTGGTTTAGCTGTCAAATATGATCTATTATTTTGTGACGACTTTAGTAATTAAATAAGTCATTTTTTTTAAAGTGAAACCGATTTGACTCGATGATAGTCGGCGCTTATTGGTTACAACACTATTATTAAAAAGAATTAGACTGAAGATGTAACTGTTTATAAGACGTTTCGGAGTAACTCAAAATTGGATTTTATTTTGGAATTCCTGCGAAAATAATACTTGAAATATGTTTCTTTCATAACGTATAGACCTTCAATAAAATTTATGTATTTTTTTAAAA